CTGCAGTAGCACTTTAGAATTCTTTTGAGGGTTTTTACATATTAGAAAACTATGTTATGGATATTTTATGAATCTATACAAGGTAATCACTCCGAGTGGTAAAATATTGATTCACAGAGGCAAACTCTTTTAAGGTCATAAAGAAGAGTTTACACTTCAATGCATTATTTATCCTCAACAGGTATACTGTCAACTAGAAAGAAGCGATGTGGTTAGGCAAATTAGATTTTTCTTGATAGAACTCTATACTTGGGATATTAATGCACTTGGGTACCTCAATTTTGATGATCAACCTGAAAGAAAGCATTATGAAGAGGAGTAGGCCGTAAGGTATTTATGTGTCCTTTCCTGTCACAAATTACCAAGGGAGCTGATCCTAAGTTGTCAAAATTGTATGTGTCAATGCTCGTACTTAGAGCCGGTGATAGGGCTCTCACATTGTTGGCATCAAATCTCCTTTGATGTGTGGGATCTATCGACAATGATGGTGGAGCCATCTTCTAGGTGTGTGTCTGTTTAATGATTTCCATCATATTCTCCTTAAGCTACAAAATCTTAAGTGCATTCCAAGTTACTTGTGATTTCGTGATGACTTTATTTTTCTTATACTTCTCCTCTTCTTATATGTAATATGATCCACAGTCAACTTACCATTTCAGTGTTGAACCCATATTTGGTTTTAAATCACCCTCAAGTAATAGAGCATAAATAGTAAGAGAAAAAAAAGTATTTTATGGATGGAAATAAGGGGAGACATATGAGAAAGATATCAAGAAAATGATTTTTAATTGAGGATTTTTCCTTCTTGGAAAAAAAAGGATCTAAAAGAAAAAAGGGTTTCTATTACATTTAATTCCCTCCATTTATAGTTGTTGGGACACCCATGAAAAGACGTATTTAGGCATATCCCACCCAACAACCCTAAGGTATGGGTCCCTTGAGTCTCTGTTGCCCTTGCTATAATGACCTGAGATCATAAAGAGAATCGAGCTCTAGTTGGGTCTTGAAGATGTGGAAGTGAATCAATCAATCACAAGAGGCTATCTCCCTGCATTTGACCATGGGTGCTTGACCGCTTCACATCCTAGGGTATTCTCCTTTGGCCATTTGATAATTAGTCACTCAGCCTCAGGTGCTCAGTCTTGAGCGTTCTGCATTGGTAGACTAACTTTGGGTGCTCAATCTCGGTCGCTCAATATTGAGCGCTTGATATTAATCACTTGACCTCAGTCACTCAACCCTTGTCAATATGCTTTGCATGCATCACTTTCCCAACTTATAATTGCATTTGGTGGCCCACTCTTTTTTTTCTAGTCATTTGGGATGGCTTCTACTTATTAATGTGTTCCAAGCCATTTAATTCTCGATGATTTGGATCGTCTGATCATGATAACCTTGACACTCGCTTTCCAATTATACATGTATTTTTATTATTTTAAAAACATATACTCTCAGTCAATTCTGATTTTGCCCTGCCGTCACCAACCCACGTCTCCCCAACAGCAACCTTCTGCCGGATCCTTCAACTGTTGTCATTGTTGTTGTGTCATAAATTGATTTATATAATATTCAATAAAAATAAAAATATTTTAGGGTCAAGATAACTAATAGATTAAAATATAAATTAAATAAAAGTGGATCCCAAATCAAATAGCCCCTTGGCTTATAAAATAGTTAGAAGTTCTTTTTTTAATAAACTATGATTCATTGGATAAAAAATATAGATGAGCCTGAGCATGCTAAACTTGAATTGCACTCTTCAAACGCACACAAATGCAGCTAATCTACTACATAAAAGAAAAATTTTCCTGCTATCCTAGCTCACAGCATCTCTGCATTTCTATTATAGGGAGATTTACATTCGTAACACTTAAAATTTTATTATTTATATGTCTAAAATGGCCCTTCAATAACTTCCTTCTCATACCCTATCCCTTGCTTTGCTTAAAATCTTAAAACCCTCAACAATATGAAAGTGGTGAGAAAATCATGATGAGACCATGCTGCGATAAGAGCATCAACAGAATTGGTGGCATCTGAAGGAACTTCAAACATTGAAAAGAGATGAGGACATCCAACCAGCTGCCTGCAAAAAGAAAAAAGATGATTTTCAAGCTGTGTTGTGACGAAAATCTAACGAGAGCCAATTTTTTTTATATTATACAAAGAATTGATTGTTTGTGTATAAATATATAATTATAAAAGGTTGACTTTTAAAACAAAAAATAATATTAGAATAACTTGGCAGAAGTTGTATCAGAATGGGATTTGATATTAATGCAATATAATTCCTAAGTATACTTATAGTACTATTCTAACAACAAATTACTGGTTTTGAAGTCCATCTTATCATGAAGTTATACTACACAAAAAATCTGACTAAATAAATCTTAAGGAAATTAAACGTATGCACAAAGTGGATATCAAAGAAACATCGACCATCACTTCACTCTATTGGATCATTGGTCAACCCAATGAAAATACGTCGGAAACAAAGAACACCACACGCCTGAATCGACGATAACTCAACCGATGCTAGGTCACCCTTGAAGAAGATCATCAATCGCTCATCAGAACTTCCTCTCGACCTTCTATGAAGATCCATTGTCTGAGCAGAGGCTGCTCATCAGATTATGGTGATGCACCTTCTGCCCGATGGAATAATTTTTTTCTAAGTATAAGGGAGTCTCTTCGAAGGATTCCCTTCAGCGTAGTCGATCAAAGATCTTTATGTTGACTAAAAAATTTTAGTCGACTGATCAATGATCAAGATACCAAGTCAGACAGTTATGAATATGAAATAGTTCCAGTTGATGTTACAAATATGAAATGACGCCAACAGCGGACACCAGGGTCAAAAAATACTTGGGTCGGTTACAAATATGAAAAGGTGTAATAACTCATAAATAACTTGTAGCTTTCCTATTATATGAGGGACAAACATGTAAATTAATAGACTCTTTCTATAGTCTATAAATAGAGGAGTCATTTCTTCAAAAAAGATTACTTAATTTATTCCAAGAAAATTAATATTATTTGTTGTTTAGTCTCTTTTTCTTTCTCACTCTCCCTCTCTATTTTTTCTCATTCCTCTCATCCAAACAACACAATTTCCCATGGGCATGCCCAAAAATACAATTTGGGATTCAACATCCTAAAAGGTACAGTGAGTGCGGAGTCATGCCTTTAACAAGAAGAGAAGCGCATCAAGGAGAAAGAACACACCTAGGAGAAACTTCAAATATTGAGACTGTCAGAGAATTCATGCAACAATGAATTTTGAAGCTCAAAAAGGGATGGCAGATTAGAATGTTAAATTGACCATCATGGTGCTTGAGGGGAAAGCCCAACCTCTCCCAAAACCTACTCCTTCAGCACTCGAGCCCCAGGGCCATCAGATAGCTCATGAAGCCAAACGAGTGGAAGAATCCCAGTACCAGGATAGCGTTGGATCCATGCCAAGGAGCAAATCACATGCAAAGTGAACGGAAGTGTATAACCGGTTTGAGATTGTGCTCTCCTTGCAGATTATTGATGGAGAACCCCCGAAGAAGTTTAAAGATTCATCTTTGGAGCCATACAAGAGCCAGAGTGATTCAGCTGATCATTATGTGTTATTTGGGTCCACTATATGCCTTCTCAAAATTTTTGAGGCATTCAAACCAAATATTATTCATAATGCTTATGTATTCAACTCTCAGGTGGTTCAACGGACTCCTAGTCAGAATTATAACTTCCTTTAGACAGTTCAAGAAGTTATTTATGGCGCAGTTCCCTGGCGCCCAAAAGCTTCGCAAGGATTCGAAGTCCTTATGACATTCCAAGTAGGGGCTAAACGAGAGCATCAGGGCATATGCCATGAGGTTTCAGAAGGAAAAACTGAAGGTACGGGATTTGGAGCTGACAATTGCAAAGGCAGCCATAGCACAAGGGTTGAGGAGCACACACTTCAGGTACTTCCTAGTTTTACAAAGATCTGGCACTTTTGGCTGAACTCTTAAAGTTATCCAACGACCACTTTGCAATAGAAGAATATGTCAACGCACCTATCTTAAAAGGTGAGAAGTTCCACCATAATTCATACAAGAAGGACTCCAAAGATGATGGATGGAGGGAGAAAGATGGCCCTCACTAAAAGTGAGAAAGGGGTCGGCCGCATGAATAAACTCATGAGCTGTGAGCAGTAGAGTTTTTGAAGAAGAAGAAATAGAGTAGAATCTATGTAATTCATATGTATTATCTGAAAAGATATGAAATACCCTATCTATCTATTTCCTATGTACATATACACACCTGTATGACAGAAAAGATTCTAACAGCATATGGTTATTTAAAGTGCAGGTATTTCTTGAATTAATTTCTTGGGTTGATCTGTACCTATGTAGTATCTTAATTCTGCTCTAAGTTATTCTGAACAGCAGCTTGTATTACCAAAAGATATTTTGGTTCAAAAAAAAGTTTTTGATAATATTTTTCTAATTTCCTCCATCATGAAGCATATAAAATCAATCTTTCAAATGTAAGCCATATGATATACAACATAGAGAAAAAGAACCTATAGTTAGAAAAGGAAAATAAAAAATAAATTGTCCTCTGGTCATCGTTCTCAAACTCCGGAGCACTACTAAGCTCCTGCCCCATTGCCGTAATTTTGTGTTTTGGGCAAAAATTTATGTCCCAGATTGCACAATTATCTTTATACTATCAACCACTAAGAAATTTATAATCTCTATCCCCTCTCTCTCAAACTTCTAATTGATAGTTCTTGAATGTAGTGGAAGAGTTTATACTGCGCAAAGCAAGAGCAATTGATCCTTAATCTCATCAAATAAATTACTCTACTCATTAATGTAAGTAAAATTTAATTTTTAAATTTTTAAATCAATATAGCATAGCCGAGACACATGCAAGTACTCGAGCACTTGCAAAAGAAAAAGAAAATCCAATGCACCCGTGAACCTGCTGACCATCTTTTCTCACAAAAGGCCAAAAAAAACTCACATGTGTCTTCCTTCATGGGACTGCAGAGTCTCATCTTCCGCCCACAAAGAACCAGAAGCTCCCACTCACTAATCTCACATTACTTCATCATGGAGCTCAAGCTTCTCATTCTCTTTATCCTCCATTCCGCATTCCTCTTCACAAATTCTCACTCTCTGAAAACTATTCCAAAATCAACAAAGCTCAAGACAAACATTACAATCATTGGTTCTGTCTTCTGTGATGCTTGTTCTGAGAACACCTTCTCCAATCATAGCTACTTTATGCCAGGTATAAACTATTTAGAATAAAATTTCATACCTTTGTAAGTAAATAGAATAACCATGCTAACAAGTTTCTGAATTCTAGCAGGTGTTGAAGTGCTTATCCAATGCAAGTTTGCAGTAAACTCCAAATCAGTGGATGAGATATCAGTCACTGCAGAGAGAACAACAGATAATTTTGGTGTTTACAAGCTTGACATTCCACCAGTAGAAGGATTTCAGTGCAGGCAAGGGCTTGAGATCAAATCATTCTGTCGAGCGAGCTTGATTCAGAGCTCGTCTTCCTCATGTAGCATACCAGGAACACAGAGCTCCACAGCTCATGTGGCCATTAAATACAAAGCAAGAGATATTTGCATTCTTAATCTCAACACACTTAACTTCCACCCTGTGAAACGGGACAATACTCTGTGTGGTGCTGATGAGGGAAAAAGACCTGCAAACTTGGGGATTTCGTATTGTTTCTGGCCATTCTTTCCAACATTTGGATTTCCATGGCTGGATCTTACTTCTCAATTCTCTAGATTGCCATTGCCAGACCCACAGTCTTTACCTTTCAGCATCCCTTCGTGGATTCTTCCATTAATTGAGCCAACAAATTTTCCATTTCCTCTCTTTTATTCACCAACTGCAACACCTGTTCCATAATTTTAACTTTTCAACCATAGAATTCATCCTACGTTTACTATTAAGAGTGCTTGAAGATCTTTTTCGTCTCATCTATCCTAACTGTATGACTTTTTCTTCTTTAATTTGTGCTTTCTTATTGTGCTTGTTTGGATAATGTTGGTCGTTGTTGTAATTGAAATCTGCTATGTTGTTTGTTATTGTTGAAATTTGTTTCTTCTGGAATGCAGCAGCGTCATGAAAAGTTGTCTAAATTACTTGAATTTTTTTTGGGGCTTATTTTGTTGAAAATCGGATCTAAGCAGATCTGATACTATTTTTATTCAAGAGAAGTTCTATTAAGCTTAAAAATCAATGCTGATTGCTAACTATAACCAACTAAATGATCAAAGAAAGCTCCATGTAAAACTTCCATCAGCGATATTTCAGATTCTCATTGGTAAATATAATGGTAATAAAGGTGAATAAAAACAAAACGTAGATGGAAAATTTGGGACAATAACATATAGATTTATGTCCGCCATACATTGATTGAATAATTCGCTAAGTTTATAAGTTCTGAGAAAATGATACATATGCAATTTTGTTTATATCAAAGATTAAAAGGAAACATATATAGAGGGGCAGGCCCAAGTAGGGTCTAGGAGGGTAATTGCCCTCTCCAACTTTAGATTTTTTCATATATGGAAAGTCAATTTGGTCTTTTGACACTCATGAAATATCACTTTATCATTTGTTGTCCTAACCCTTCCCACATTGGGTGTAAGAGGGCAGTTTGCCCTCCCCACCCCCTCCTCAAAAAATATAAAAATGGTTTCGCCCGAGCACATATGGATCAAATTTTACTATATGAAAGATTATAACAAAATTCAGTGGCTGCTCATAATGATGAGGGCTGGATAAAAAAAGAATAATTTTTTTTCATTGATATTATCCTCTTCTCTCTCTATTGCAAAATTTTAATTTTATTCATATTGTGTCTGTTAGCTTCTCCTTTCAGCTATTGAAATCTAATTTGCCCATGAATCACACCCAAGGAATAGAATGTTAGACAGAGGAGTAATGAAAAGTAATTTGACTTGTTGATTAGCACTTACACATGAAATGATTTTCATATTTATAGATGAGGGTATAATAAATAAAATTATATGTCTATAACTGCTTTAATGGGAGCATTACAGGGGCCATTTTAAGTATTTTACATATATTTGATTTGGCTACCCTATGATTCGGCCGGCTGAAATCAATCGTTCCTAGTTCAAAAAGATATGTTTGATCAACTGTGCTAACTCGAGGTAGCTGGTCAGCCTTTGATGTTCTTTGGGTCGGTAAGATTCGACTTGATTGGCTTGAATTTGTCGATCGACTACGCTAGAGTATGACTAGTTTATTAAGTGAAGGGTGAAATTAAAGAAATTACAAATTTACCCTTAAAGTTAAAATTGGACACTTGGAAGCTTAAAATTTTAAACTAATGATTATAATTCATCAATAACTCTTAAGAAAATTAAAATCAAATAAAACCCATAATTAGAAAAGGGAGGGAAGTCATATTTGTAATTTCCCAAATAAACTACAAATATGCCTTTCCTCACTTTTATACTTGTAAAACGTGAACCCAAATAATTATTAATCAATAAAACAAAAAAACTTGATAAATTATGAATAATTGAAAGTGATTAAAAGATTATTTGTAATTTCTAAAAAATTACAGATATGAACTTACTTTCTCTCAAACCCAAAAACTTAATCGCAAATCTAAAACTTGTCAAGCTTAATTTGAAACCATTAATAAAAAGTTAGAAAATAATTGAATAAGTGAAATCCAAGAGTTTAAAAGTAAGTTTGGTCATAATTGTAATTTTTCCATATACCTTTTTCATTATTAAACTCAACAAATAAAATCATTAAAATTGAAAACTTCAACCTACTAATCCAAATTACTTATTAAAATCAAATAAAATATAATAGGAAATTTTCACTTTGAAATAATGTGGTTTAGTCAAAAATAGCAATTTTACTATTATACCCTCATAAACTTAAATCCTCATAACTTTCTAAAGGGACTCCAAGTTGAACAAAATCTTCACAAGTAAATCAAGTGAAGAAAGAAAATCAAGAAATTCAAAAATATCCTTCATTAAATAACTTTTAATTATTTTTAAATAATTGTCTTACAAAATAAATACAACAATTCATAAAAATTTTAAATGAATTTGAAATGACATAAAATTTTTAGAGGTTGTTTAGAATCTAATTCTAAACATCTCTATAAGACATCAAGGGTTATGGAGGTCATTTGAACCTATTATGAATTTCTAAAATTAAATGACCATTCTATTTAAAATCAAATAAAAATTTAAAAACAATCATATTAAAAATCTATTAAGAAATTAGAAGACATTCTTATTAAAAATCAAATAAAAAATTAATAAAATTCAAAAAAGTTTGAATGACATTAAAACTAAACCTATTGAACAAAAAAATAAAATTTATAACTTTAACAACTAATTTACCCTGGATTTACAAAGATCTCTTAAACAGCACAACCCATGATTGTTAACAAGAATATTTTTGTCAAAGTGGGCTAAATACCACCTCTCAATATGTAGATAAGGGATCACGATAACCCAGGACAATGGAATCATGGGATCGTGATGGACCCCTACTAATTAATAATCACTAGCTTTTAGACGTCAAAAGACCTTGACCCTTGCTTTAGAAATAGGTCTAGTGAAGTCCTTCTGTAACCTCTCAATAAGTAGATCGAGGATTATGACAACTCGAGACAATGGAACCATGGGATCTTGACTGAGTTTTCTCAATATTGTCCCCTATTAATTAATAATCGCTGCCTTTTAGACGTCATAAGACCTTGACCCTTGCTTTAGAAATATTTCTGGTGAGGTCATTATCTTGTGTTGCCCTTTGTGTTTTGTGTATGTTTGCTTATTATGCATTTGATTAAGACAAGTAAATAGCTTTATTTTCTTCATGCATTACACCTCCTCGGAATGTTTGTCTAAGTTATTGTAATTTTATTACATTTTTATAGGCTTCCATAGTAAGATTAGGATGTGTTAATCTTATTTGTAGAGTTGTTGAAGTAAACCTAAGCTACCGTAGTAAATGGTGGTTTATTTTTCTTGTTGTGCTCTTTTTTTCTGGAGTTAGGGTGACCATCATAGTTAGTTAACTATCAAGATTTGAATCATCTAAGAAAAGATGAACATATAATGAAAGATGAACCTCAACTAAACTAGCAATAATGTTTGGATTGCATTCTTGACCAACTAGTCTGACATAGCTTTAGGATTGGTACTCCCTTTTATCATATTTGTCAATTTGTTATTTGTGTTTGATAGATCTGCTAAATTTTAGGTCATTTATTTGTTTTTTTTTTTTGCCATTGTTATGCTGATTAAAAAATAAATCTTGTACCCAAAATAAATAATTTTAACAGAATTTTTCAAAAAATTAGAAAAAACTCTCAACCAAAATCAAAATAAGGAAAGCATTGCATTCACACCAAGAAACATCATGCTTTTAAGACAACAAAATTGATACTGAATAAAATTGAGTAGAAATCATTTTGTGATTTAAGAATATTCAAGAAAAGATCATTATATGCATATGCACTTCATATTTTATCATATTTATTATCATCATGCCCTCACTCATCACGCGAAAAGGAGTGATTTGTCCTTTAAGGATCACCACTTTATAGAGTGGGCTTACCTTCACATATCATGTGGCCTTATGAATAAATCTTCTAAATATTCATCATCAAAGATTTGCATACTAATACATAGCTTGCCTTATTCACTTGGCACTAAGAGTTAATAAAAATAATAAAAAGTTTTGAGTGTGGTGACTTTAGATGTTTAAATTTTAAAATTTAAAAAAATGTTAGCATTTGTCTCAAGACATTATGCATATCATTCTTAATTAGGCAGCTTGATTTTATACTCCCGCTATAAGACCTATTTTTTTTTAATAAATAATAGTCTATCTTAGCTTGCATTTATTGAGACCGGTCATGCATGGTTTTGTTATGATGTTGTGGTTTAGATGGAAGTCATTTTCAGACAAGATCATAAGCTTGCATTTTTGTTTGTTGTGTTTTGTCTCCTTTATACTAGGTTCTGAAGTTTCCATTTTTTCGGTGAATTTTCCCTTTAGTCTTAAAATTCATATATTGTTCATCTAGTTGCAGCATAAATCCTTACCATCCAGGCTTTCTCGCAATCATATATCGTGTGATATAAATTCAAAATTTCTTATAAAATGTCAACTGAAAAAACAATTAAATCTCTTTAAAAACTATTAAATCTAACAAATAGGATTTTTGAGATGTTACAAACATTCTCTGTATTTTTGACATCTCATACTCTTACTTAGTGTTCCATAAAATGTTCAACTTTTAAGCTCTCTTTTGATATTTCTAATGATCAATCATGAAAAGTGAACTTAAAAATTTATTGAAGATAAAACACAACCAGAATCACTTTTTTTCTTAAGTAATTATTATTAATAAATGTGTAATTAGCTATAGGGGTTTACCCTTAAAGGAGGTTTGAACCTCAGATTAATTTAAAACCTAACTAGTCTTCAAATTTGATAGGAGCAAAATTTTAAGTAATAGACATTACATATATCCAAAATATCTTTTTTTTTTAAGTAATTGAACCCATTATGAGGTGATATTTATATCTTTAAGGAGGGTATATTACTTTTGATGTCATTTTGTTTATTTAAAAAATTAAATTTTTTATTGTGTATGATTCCCAAACAATAACACCAAAATAAAACCAACATATTTTTTTGGCAACTTCTTTGTCCATCTCTAGCTGATGGTCTTATCTTCATACATTAATAGTGTGATTATGTCTAGTACAGGCCAAACTATCCTTCTTTTGTTTGTATACTTTGCTCATTTCATTCTTGGGAAAGTATAACCAACATTTCCTTCAATTCCAAAATCGTTCATTTGAATACCCTTAAATAAAAGAGTTCTAAAATCTTAAAATTCTATATAATAAAATCTACAATTAAAAAAATATCTTTGATTAAATAGAATAAAATATTAAAAAAACAAATTTAATTTTTTCTCTAGTTCTAAGGACTGGTCCATCCTATCAAATCTTATCTTTCCTTTAGTTTCACTAGTTTATGACAAGTTACAACTAATTTCCACCATATAGAAACA